TGGTTGCCCGGGCAACTGCCCGTTTGCCTTTCCTGACTCAAGTTGCCCTTCCGACTCGCCCTTCCGAGAAAAAAAATAAAATAAAAAAATTATCGCGATCGCAAAGCCTCATTCACTTCCATTCGGGCACCGAAAGTGAAAGTCAGTAGGGGAAGGGCAAACTCTGTTTAAGTGGCTGCACTGCTGCAGCGCTGCCTGCACGTCAGTCGATTCTGTTCCCTACCGGAATTCCTGTTTCCTTCCTTTATGCAATCATACTACAACAAATCATGCGTAGTTTTGCCCAGTTACCATACGTGATACGTACCAACAGAAGTGAATACAAGCTAGAAGCGCAACTGAATGTACGGGAAGCCAAAAGGTTAAAAAAGGATTGTATTTTTTTCCGAAATCTAAGCGGTTTTTTTAATTTAATATTTTATTAGAAGCGAGTTTTCCCCATCTGTCAATTCAATCTAGATTATTTATTTTCAAATAAAAAATAATAATGATTAAAAAAAACAATAAACAATAATATAAGGAACTCTTTTTCTCATATGTATTTTGGTGACATTTATATTGTTAATACATTTTGGATACTGTGTTTAGTGCCTTTTTTCAGGTCAGAGCAACTGCCCTTCAAAATTCCTGTGCACCTCCCTGACCATAAGTCATTATTTATATAGGCCTACAAAAAGTCATTATTTTAAGATGCTAACACATTATTTAGAGACACTATAAGTCATTATTTTAAGATGCTAACACATTATTTAGAGACACTATAAGTCATTATTTTGAGATACCAACTGAATTTGAGATACTAAAACAATATTTAGAGATACCATAAGTCATTATTTATATAGGCCTACAAAAAGTCATTATTTTAAGATGCTAACACATTATTTAGAGACACTATAAGTCATTATTTTAAGATGCTAACACATTATTTAGAGACACTATAAGTCATTATTTTAAGACGCTAGCACATTATTTAGAGACACTATAAGTCATTATTTTAAGATGCTAACACATTATTTAGAGATACTATAAGTCATTATTTTAAGACGCTAACACATTATTTAGAGACACTATAAGTCATCATTTTAAGAGACGAACACATTATTTAGAGATACTATAAATCATTATTTTAAGAGACTAACACATTATTTAGAGATACTATAAGTCATTATTTTAAGACGCTAACACATTATTTAGAGACACTATAAGTCATTATTTTAAGATGCTAACACATTATTTAGAGATACTATAATACATTATTTTAAGACGCTAACACATTATTTAGAGATAATATAAGTAATTATTTTAAGAAGCTAACACATTATTTAGAGATACTATAAGTCATTATTTTGAGATACCAACTGAATTTGAGATACTAAAACAATATTTAGAGATACCATAAGTCATTATTTATATAGGCCTACAAAAAGTCATTATTTTAAGACGCTAACACATTATTTAGAGACACTATAAGTCATTATTTTAAGATGCTAACACATTATTTAGAGACACTATAAGTCATTATTTTAAGACGCTAGCACATTATTTAGAGACACTATAAGTCATTATTTTAAGATGCTAACACATTATTTAGAGATACTATAAGTCATTATTTTAAGACGCTAACACATTATTTAGAGTCACTATAAGTCATTATTTTAAGATGCTAACACATTATTTAGAGACTCTATAAGTCATTATTTTAAGATGCTAACACATTATTTAGAGACTCTATAAGTCATTATTTTAAGACGCTAACACATTATTTAGAGACACTATAAGTCATTATTTTAAGACGCTAGCACATTATTTAGAGTCACTATAAGTCATTATTTTAAGATGCTAACACATTATTTAGAGATACTATAAGTCATTATTTTAAGACGCTAACACATTATTTAGAGACACTATAAGTCATTATTTTAAGACGCTAACACATTATTTAGAGTCACTATAAGTCATTATTTTAAGATGCTAACACATTATTTAGAGACACTATAAGTCATTATTTTAAGAGACTAACACATTTTTTAGAGACACTAAAGTCATTATTTTAAGATGCTAACACATTATTTAGAGATACTATAAGTCATTATTTTAAGACGCTAACACATTATTTAGAGTCACTATAAGTCATTATTTTAAGATGCTAACACATTATTTAGAGACTCTATAAGTCATTATTTTAAGACGCTAACACATTATTTAGAGACACTATAAGTCATTATTTTAAGATGCTAACACATTATTTAGAGACACTATAAGTCATTATTTTAAGACGCTAACACATTATTTAGAGACACTATAAGTCATTATTTTAAGATGCTAACACATTATTTAGAGATACTATAAGTCATTATTTTAAGACGCTAACACATTATTTAGAGTCACTATAAGTCATTATTTTAAGATGCTAACACATTATTTAGAGACTCTATAAGTCATTATTTTAAGATGCTAACACATTATTTAGAGACTCTATAAGTCATTATTTTAAGACGCTAACACATTATTTAGAGACACTATAAGTCATTATTTTAAGATGCTAACACATTATTTAGAGACACTATAAGTCATTATTTTAAGACGCTAGCACATTATTTAGAGTCACTATAAGTCATTATTTTAAGATGCTAACACATTATTTAGAGATACTATAAGTCATTATTTTGAGATACCAACTGATTTTGAGATACTAAAACAATATTTAGAGATACCATAGGTCATTATTTATATAGGCCTACAAAAAGTCATTATTTTAAGACGCTAACACATTATTTAGAGACACTATAAGTCATTATTTTAAGATGCTAACACATTATTTAGAGACACTATAAGTCATTATTTTAAGACGCTAACATATTATTTAGAGACACTATAAGTCATTATTTTAAGACGCTAACACATTATTTAGAGACATTAGAAGTCATTATTTTAAGATGCTAACACATTATTTAGAGATACTATAAGTCATTATTTTAAGAGACTAACACATTATTTAGAGATAATATATGTCATTATTTTAAGACGCTAACACATTATTTAGAGACACTATAAGTCATTATTTTAAGACGCTAGCACATTATTTAGAGATACTATAAGTCATTATTTTAAGAGACTAACACATTATTTAGAGATATGATAAGTCATTATTGTAAGAGACTAACATATTATTTAGAGATACTATAAGTCATTATTTTAAGACGCTAACACATTATTTAGAGATACTGTAAGTCATTATTTTAAGACGCTAACACATTATTTAGAGATACTGTAAGTCATTATTTTAAGACACTAACACATTATTTTTATCATTGATCACAACATCATGTTAGACAGACTGAGGCACTGGGTGGGGATCTCTGGTACTGCCCTAGAATGGTTTTCATCCTACCTGTCAAATAGGAAGTTTTGCGTGTCTGTAAACAACTATGTCTCTTCGTTCTGTCCAGTTAAATATGGTGTGCCTCAGGGGTCGGTCTTAGGACCCATTTTGTTTTCCTTGTAACCGCTTCCCCTTGGACATATTATCCATAAACATGGCATTTCTTTTCATATTTATGCTGATGACACACAAATATACTTGCCCGTCAGATCCACAGACCCTGGAATGCTGAGTTCACTTAACAACTGCCTTTGTGAAGTTAAAAAATGGATGTCAAATAATTTCCTCCAGCTGAACTCAGACAAAACAGAAATCCTGGTCATCGGGTCTGCGGATGGCAAATCAAATACTGCCATCTGCTGGTTCCCTAGTAAATCACATTAACCTTGAACCTTGGTGTTTGGTTTGATAGTAATTTAAATTTCGAGCAGCACACCACAAAGCTTGTTCAATAATGTTTTTATCAACTTAGAAATATAGCTAAAATTCGATCTATGTTAACTTTTAAGGACACACAGACCATTTTACACGCCTTCATCTCATCACGCCTGGATTATTGCAACAGCCTTTTCACCTGTTTAACCCAAAAATCTATTGATCGACTCCAGACTGTCCAGAACTCAGCTGCCAGGCTTTTAACCAGAACAAAGAAATATGACTACATTACTCCTATTTTAGCTTCATTACACTGGCTCCCAGTGTGTTTTAGAATTGACTTTAAAATTCTATTGATCACTTTTAAAGCTCTTCATGGCCTCTCGCCTTGTTATATTTCTGACCTTTTAGTCCCATACGCACCAGCACGTACCTTGAGATCCTCGGGCAGAGGTCTGTTGTCTGTTCCAGAGTCTCGACTGAAAACTAAAGTGGACAGAGCGTTTGCTGTCAGGGCCCCGAGGCTCTGGAACAGCCTGCCCGAGGAAATCAGGTCAGCTGAGTCAGTGAACTCTTTTAAGTCCCTTCTTAAAACATACTTTTATAGGAGAGCCTTTCCCGATCTTATTTGACTTTATTTTTCACTGTTTTCATGCTTTTATCTTGTATTGTTTTTGTATTATTGTCTTTTGGGTATTATTGTCTTTACACTTGTTAAAGCACTTTGTAACTTGTTTTTGAAAAGTGCTCTACAAATAAAGATTATTATTATTATTATATAAGTCATTATTTTAAGACGCTAACACATTATTTAGAGACACTAAATCTCATTATTTAGAGATGCTAGCTCATTAACTCAATATTTAGAGATACTATAAGTCATATTTAGAAATACAAAGTCATTATTTTGAGATACTATTTAAGTCCTTATTTTAAAATACTGTCATTATTTAGAGGTACAATAAGTCATTATTTAGATATGTAAATTCATACATTTGAGAAAGTTTGTCATTAATTTCAGATATCAAGTCAATATTTAGAGAAATATTCTCATTATAATGACTAACAGTATCTCTTTTTTTGTCATCACAGTGGCTGAAATGGGCTTCCATAGCCTTCATGCACGTGTCTGGTGGATCAGCACGAAGCCATACATGAAGTCCTTCTGAAAAGCTGCCACACCCCGTCTGTCCTTCCCAGGCAAAGTTGACGCACTGCAAACTGTAAGATGACACCGGGCGGGGCTTGCTGTGCGGTCTGTGTGCCTCTGATCGTGGAAAACGTCTGTGCCAGAGCATGATAATTACGCAAAGCGAGACACTTTAAAACGTAGCTAGAAAGTTTTAAAGCTTCGACCAAACATTAACGTTTCCTAAAAACTTAAGTAGCCGCTAAAGAGGAAAAGCCAACATGAGGCTTTGTTTGAGTGCTTCTGTTTTACTTCTTTTTCTTGTTTCTGGAACTTTAACGCAAGGTAAGCTCATTGGAACACAATTATAGGTTGTGTAACTTAATTATTATAGTATGTATTTTAGACAGTGGTGGACATTCAGATCCTTTAAAGGTACTAATACCACTGTGAAAATACTCTGGTGCAAGTAAGTACTGCATTGAAAGTGTTATGAAAGTAAAGGTATTAAAGTATAATCAGGTAAATTAAATTAGCCTTCTTAAAGCATTAGAAGTACGTTACTCACTGCAGAAAAATGTCTCCTGTGACTGTTGCTTGTGCGTTTATGGGCTATCATTAGATCATTATTCCTCATGCATTCATGTAAAAGCTGGATTTTACTGCTTTAGTTGTTGAGGTGGAGCTCATTTTGAACTATTTTGTATTCGACTGCAACTTATAATTATTTTCATTAAGAATTCATCTGCTGATAATTTTCTCCATTAATCACTTGACTGATTGTAAAAATTCTGAAGTGGAAATGCTGTCACATTTAGGCTACCCAGAGCCCAAAGTAACACCTTCATAATGCTTAGTTTTATCCAACTAACAGCCCAAACATCAACATTATTAACTTTACATTCAAGTTTTCAAGTGGAGCCATGAAATGTTTTTACACAAAAAATTACTTAAATGATCAAAATAGTTGCCAGTTAACTTTGTGTTAACCCACTAATAGTTTCAGCTGTACAGTGTAGAACAGGTACCTCAAATTTGTACTTGAGTACAGTACTTGAGTAATGTACTTAGTTACTGTCTGCCAATGATTGAGGTCTTGCCTTTTAAGGAAAGAAGTGTGGCTAAGTTAAGGCAATCCTAAGTATTTCTGGCAGCTAGGGTTATTATATAACCAGGAACATTTTAAATGAGCCCGACAGAAGCTGCAACTTTTGTAGAATTTGCCACAGACCAGTAGCTATGTGGCAGTTAGTAATGTTAGTTAGCTAAATGCCTTTTTCCATCCCGTGCCTTAGCTCAGTGAGCTCGGCCAGCTTCACTTCCTGAATCCTACACCAGAGCAACAGTTTTAAAGGAAACATGTGTTGGCTTGATTTGAGAGGATCAGGAAGTTATGATCAGTTCAGTTTGACTGCTGATGTGACCGGTCCATTGTGTTGATGTGACACCGGGGTGATTTTATTACTGTTTATTACATGGATTCGTGAGACAGAACCTCCATATCTGTTCCTGCTCCCCTGTACACTTAGGGCAGAGGGGAATAGGCAAAATTAATTTATAGTAGGGACCACAGAAGAAAAAAATTAAGGAGTGCCTCAAAATTAACTTCACTGTGACAACACTGTGAAACCTTTATTAAAGGCCTAGTCCCAATTAGATGCCTGTCCCTTTTACTTCTCACAACTAAACGCAGGTGTCATTTAGACGCCTTTATAGAAGTTCTCTGGATGTTTAAAACCTCTTAAAGTCCATCGGGTTCTTGAGATAGTTCTAAGCTGCTTAGACTGCACAAACAGTTAGATTCTCCACAATTCAATCAATCAGTTAATGTTACGAAAACAATTTAGATTTGGCGATATGGTAAACAAGAGAGACAAAGAAAAAGCCATGTTTTATATTTCTCATCATTGCTGAGCAAGAGTTTTGTGCAAAATGAAGTTAAGGCCTGTTCCAAACGTAGGCAGGGTGAGTTCAGGGGTTGAAGCAAATAGAAACACGGGCTACTAATCGAAGTTTTACGGTATACATTCTGGATGGAGGTCCTTCCAGTGAAAAATCACCCTGTGATGTTGACATTTCAATTGAGTCATTGAGTTTCTCTGAAAAAAAATCATTTGATTGAATTCATTGTTCAAGTTAAATGACCATGACTGAGCCCTGCAAACTCAGTCCCTGTATTCAGCTGAGACCCATTGATTGAACGAGTGAATTAAAACTTGACTTTACCCTGCACACAAGTGCACCATGCTCGAGGTCACACCTGGGGGTCAGGCTTTATTCATAGGGCTGCTGTGGACAGAGAATAGATGTAGGCTGCTTGCTTCATTGTGTTGGGTGACTGGGTTCTTGCAGGCCCGCCAGTCAGATTGTGTAGTTTTTCGGGAGGATAATTGTGTAGACTGTAGAAATATTAAGCATTCTCACTCCTAAGTCGTCACTCATGGACGCTTGGTCAAGACCCCTTGGCGTTGCTTTTTAACGCCTTTTAGCGTGTAGGGCTCCGCGGTCAAGTTAGCAACAATAAATAAGCAGAGTCCTGTTAAACTTTCAAAATAAAACTAGTGTTTAATGTTGTGAAATGTCAGCATTTGGTTAGATCTAGTCATCAAAGCTACTTCGTTACTTACTTGACTCAACTTGCGTTAGTTAAGTAACCTACCTAACTTCACTAAAAACATCAGTGTTGACACAAGAAACAAACTGTTTTGTGGCCCTCTCACTTTCTTACTCTGACTTTTCTGTTATTTATATCCTGCACCAGCTTATAGCATTCAAAAATGAGTCTACAGGGCTTCCCCCAATGCGTTGTACTATGGAGATAAGGTGCTCCCCATTGGGGGGGTCTTGACCATGCGTCTGGGTGACCACGGCCTTTTTTGGTCTTTTAGGTCAGTTGTAGGAATAAACACCCAATTTCTAGCACTTTGTAAAAATACAAATACAGGTAATTTTTTATTGTGTATTGGACTGGAAACTACTTGTCATGTGTAGATGTTCATTAATGTCCTGTAGGGCTGCACGATGTGGAGAAAAGGTCATATTGCGGTTATTGTGGACAATATTGGGATTTCCAAATAATGGAACAATGCACAAAATACTGAAATTTTTAAATGTGTATTTCGCAGCTTGAACAGACAAAGTTAAACAAGCATAAGAAATACAAACTTTACGGATTTTTCCACGTTTAAAAAAACTCTTTAAAACACTCACAGATAAGTCTACTGTGATTGGTGCATTGCGGCTTGTGGCATTAGTATGGTAGGAATATTGAAAGTTTTTATTTGGTATTACGTACGACATCGAATAGGTCAGGTATTGTAAGAGTAGGTGTTATGAGCTGTAGCTTCAGCCTACTGTAGAACATTTGCTTTGTTGTGTTGTTTACTGTTGTGCTGTTTTGTTGGAAGTGATCACTTATGCTGTTGTATTTTTAGCTTAATGGTTTGTAAAAGTACTTCAAGACTTAAATTGGTGAATTTGGTGAAATTGGTGGTTAATTTCATTTTTTGTTTTCCTGTGCGTTTTTTGTTGCTGGAAGGCTTTTGTTGTGAAGTGTTGGTTTCATAGTCAGTCACTGTTTTAAACTGCCTTTTGTTGCATTGGTTTGCTCTTCTGTTTGTGAATAGATAGTGTTAAGCTTGTATCAGGATACATATTGTAGTCTGTGATAATCGCCCGCTGACACTGTGAGGTTACTAATACACGAAGCAGAACTCGGGCACGCTGCTGTGTGTTTTACAGCCTCATGTGCAAAGAGTACTGGCAGCTCACTAGTTTCAGTGGTGACTCATGCTTCAAAGCTGCTCAGTGTTTCAGTCAGCGCTGCCATGGCAGCCAGCAAAAACACTGTGACTCCCTGCAACACCCAAACACAGAACACATGTGCTCCACTATGACGGAAAAACTGTGTGGTTGTAGAGTCATAGGTACTCAGAAGAAGAACACTGCAGTAAGTTAGTCAAAACTAACCAATGACTGTGAGTCAGTGGTGACTTTTATGCAGTTCTGTACAGCAGTTTAAGTTGTTGCTACCAGTGTTGATTTGTAATGATGTTCTTCATGTCTTCCACACACAGGGTTTGACCTGTCCGATGCTGTTGATGATGTCAGTAAGTGACTTTCTCTGTACTAGGACATTTTACAATCACAACATGTTAATGCCATTTTATCTGTGTCCCTATTCTTAGTTAGAAATGCATGCACTATACAGTCTCTCTATGGTTCAAACAGTTAGTAACCTGACCCGATGCAGACATAAACAAAGTCCTAGGTCAATAAGGTAAGTCTAACTGAGACTGGTAGTGTCTCTGCATCAGCTCAGATCATGTGGTGCATCCTAATTACCACATGACCTGATCTGACTGCCATCGGGTTCCTTTCAGATATTTTGTTTTTGCAGAAAATACAGAGTATCACATGTATCTATTTATAATCTAAGTTTGACTCATTATTGACTAAACCGTATTTATTATGTAGGTTATACTTTGACATAGTTGAACAAAAACAAGACCACTTACAAGCTTTTTTTTTCCAGAGCTTTCATTCACATCTCATAATCCACTTCAGGGGATGGAGATAGCACCGTTGTCATGACCAGAGGTTACGTTAGACTTCCTCGTTGTCCGACATTAATGATAATGAGACATAATTATACCCTATTTAATAGTTTTTCAAAAACAACTTGATCACACTAACTTTTAATATACAGAATTTACAGATTAAGCATTTCTAAGGGCATGGAGAGAAAATATGAAGGCAAGGCAAGTTTATTTATTAGTTAGTACATTTCCACAACAAGGCAATTTAGAGTACCAGCTAAACAACGAGGTAATGGACGTGATATCAAATTACAGCTGGATGATATGTGGTATCACAAAAAAAAGTTTAATATCTTTCGATATCCATAATTATCACGATAAGTAAGAAATCATTGTTTCTTCCAAGTTTCAAGGCTTATTTTTGCTCCTAAGTGAAAGTAGAAGAAACCTGATGGTTATTGTTTTTTAAACTCTTATTTATAGTCAACCCTTGATGCCAAACAGTGGATCACTTCACAAATCTGAGGTAGAACATTCAAAACCATTATGATAAAATCTTTGTCAACAAATATCTTTAAGTCAAACAGAGTAAAAGCTTTTTCAGTCCTTTTTCCTCAACAGAATAAACATCTTAATAAGAAAAATTAAGTCCTAATTCATGTATGATTCAAGTGAATAAAATCAAACATTTATTTTTTTTATTATATTGCGATAATTATTGTTATTGTTTTATTGTCCAGCCCTATATCACAGACAAGACTACTAGACAAGAGCTAATTAATATGCACACTGCTACTGCGCAGGGGGTCTCCTACAGGTGGTCTATGTGTGGTTGCTGACAGTGTTGCATGTGAGTTACTTAATATTACGATAGATTGCCCTTAGACTCAGTCTGTCGGCCTTCGTATTTTTCCGTCATTGTTAAAAAATTGATATGGTAATAATGATCGATCGCCATCGCAACTGAGTAAACTCTTTATCTGCTGAGGAAGACTGTGAGATGTTTATCAAAGTGCCAGAAAAAGCTAGTAAGTGGACCCTAAGTTAACTTTGTTGGTGGAGACGATGCCGGCTAGAAATGTTGACTTGCTGTCAGATAGCAACACTGCTCATTTCTTTTTCTTCCTTAGCACAAAAGCCCAAAGAGATCACGAAGGCTCCAGAGAAACCTAAAGCTGATGGTGTGTATACTTTTATCTGTTCCAGAATAATAACAGGCTATTAATAAAGATGAGGGGGGTCTGCCTTTTAAAAGTTAGGGGGACATTATGCCTTAATGGTTAACAGTACTTTCTTGTGTCCTGGTTGGACAGGATAGTCCAGCTGACTGATCAGATTTATTTTAGCACTAAAAAGACTTTCTTTCCTGAAAGCATTTATTCCTGTACTGCAGAAACCGAAAAGGAAGCTCAATTTCTACAGATTACACACATAGTGATACTGTAACATGCAATATCCGAACATGTCATGTGTGGGTTGTAAAAACCTTTATTTGCAAGAAGTACCAACATATCAGAGTGTTATAGTGCAGGATGTTTCACCACTGTCTCACTCACACTGAAGTCTAACAGCACCACAGCACTGCACACAGACTACACCATTCATACTGTTAGTTTCCTTTGCGATACACAACTGCAACCAAGATAACACCATGATCCAGATCTAGTCACGCAGAGGTTGGTAAATGCTACTTGTGGTTGTCTGGTTCCTGTTGCATGAGTGCACACACCAGAAAGCGTGCAGTTGCTGTCGTTTGAGCTGTCTATCACCAACTATTGGCCACATTTCCTTGCCTTTTCTGTAGATACTCATGAACCACAGAGGATGAATCCTTGTGTTTTTGATGAGTCCTGGTCTTTTCCCAAGTACACCACTTGTACACAGAAAAATATAAAACACAACAGGTGTTGTTTGAACTAGTTTTTATAAGACTAGCAGTCGGTGGTTCTCAGAGTCTACAGCCATGTTAGCACCTCTGTGAGGCTGTAGTTTGGCACAGTGGTGCTTTAAGCTAAATGTCTAAACGCTTACATACTCAGCTATGCAGTGCTCACATGTTGATGTAAGAAGGTGTGATGTTTACCATGTTCACCGTCTTACTTAGTTAGTACCACATTGTACTGGACACAAAGGACAGCTGAGGCTAATGTGAATGTCAGTGTGTTTTCAGGTATTTAGTCATAAATCAAAGTATTGGACAAATAGAAATTTTGAGCTAGATGAAAATTCAGATTTACCCCATAAACAACAAAGTTATTCCAATTCATCCTTAAATGTTTGTAGAAAATGTCATGGAAATCCATCCAATAGATAACTACTTTGTATTTTTTTTTTTATGTAACAGTACAGTTTTCTGGACTTATGTATGTGTTTCTTTCTACTTCTCTTCCTCTGCAGGTGAACTAGACCTTTCTGATGCATTTGGACCAGGTAAAATACAGTTTGCAAGTTAAAGCCATTGTTTTTCCTCTGGTATCACTAACAGCTGGTAAAGTGAGACATCTTTATACTGTTGTACTGCTCACTCTTAGCTCCTGGCCTGGTTTAGCTCGTCATGTGATGTAAAGTTAAAAATAAAACAGATGAAAAGAACGTGAACAGTTTGAGCTCGAGTCCTGTACCGTTCCAGGACTGGTACCATGACCAAAGATGCATCAGTTAGTAGTGATCAGTGCTGCAGTTTACTCATCTTTGCCATGGGTGTTCACTTATAGCTACAAGAATTGGCGCTGGAAGATTTAACGAAAAATAGATTTTCCAAGTCAAATGTGATTTGCGAAGACTAGCTAACACATCATATAAAACTGCACTTGAATGTCATGAGTCATGCATAGACTGTATACTGTATTTGCTAGGCCACGCCCATCCATGTGCTCAATTTCAGTCAGACAGTACACTATATGGACAAAAGTACTGCGACACCTACACAGTAGAGGGCCTGGCTCGCAATCTCCATTCTAGTTCATCCCAAAGGTGTTGGATTGGGTTGAGGCCAGAGCTTTGTGCACCTACCGGGGAAAACCCTTTCATTATGAAGCTGGCTTTGTACACGGGGGCATTGTCATGTTAAAACAGGAAGAGGCTGAACTATTGTTTTACATTGTATGCTGTAGCATTAAGATTTCCCTTAACAAAGACCACACCATTAAACACAGCCCCTCCAAAAAGTAGGCGTTCTGGTACTTTTGTCCATATAGTGTGTGTCACATAATGGAGTCTAATCTATGGAAGCCTGTGGGGGACTATGTTAAAATGAATGAATCCACAATTGCATTATAATTTTACACATATTTTTGTGTTATTTGAATCAAATGAGTTAAAAATTGAGGCGTATGAGGAGTATCTTAATATGTATGTATAATGTTCACTTATTTTAATACTGCATGAATGTTTCAGATTTAACAGTGATTGTTTTAAAAAAGTTTTGTGGTCTCATTTTCCCGCAGATGAGGTAACGACGAAGGCACCCAAGAAACCGAGTTCTGGAGGTTCAGGTAGGGTTAACTTCTTCCTTCTTACTTCTTGTGGTTTCTAGCCATGTTGATAGTTTTGCTTTTAACTGCTGAGCTTTAGAGCTATTGTTTTTTATGACGTAGGTGAACCAGTCATTTAAATGACATTACTGGGGCACAACTGCGTCGTTGAGGTGTACCACATAAGTGCATCATCCACGATTAGACTCTATTGGATGTTTGGACATTTACACTCCAGCAACCCCAGCTGAACTCATTACCAGAGTTTCATAGGTTACAGTTCAGCGTAAATAGCAACAACATGTGACAGTAGAAAGCTAGCGTTAGTTCCAAGGCTGTTAGATTCACATAGATGACACATAAATATAATTTTGCGATTTTTATTTTATTTTAATCATCAATCGTTTTGCTTCTCCAACTCTGCAAGTTAATCAAACAAGCAGGGTTAAACAGGGCTATGTTGGATTGAAATGACAGTCTGGCGACACCCCTAATTATAACACTCCAGTGAGCCTCACTGCTGCACTGTGTGACCATCATGAAACACACTCTGTAGTTTATTCTGACTCACATACACCGTCCCGCTTCCCCAGCAGAACACACACTAGAGCACCACGTGTGGATTCATCCGCCTCTCAATATAGTCCCAAACAAATGCACTATTTCCTCCTGTTTGATAAAAGCTACACTGAGCATCTGCTTAAGCAAAGGACTTTTTAAACATGAAACTGCACATTTGTGAGTGATTTATTTCTTAGATAAATCAGAGAGCCACAGACAGGAAGTCAGACAGTATTAAGAGACGGACTGAGACTTCCTTGGTTTTAGTATTTTCATTGCTAACAGTAGATAAAACAAGAGCAGGTTTATCTCTCATGCCGCCCAGGAGCAGAAGTACTTACTTTTCCTGTTTTAAACTTACGAGCCTTTTACATATTCAAGTGAAGAACTATTGTTTTACATTGTATGCTGTAGCATTAAGATTTCCCTTAACAAAGACCACACCATTAAACACAGCCCCTCCAAAAAGTAGACGTTCTGGTACTTTTGTCCATATATTGTGTGTCATATAATGGAGTCTGTATGGAAGCCTGTGGGGGACTATGTTAAAATGAAAATGTAAATCCACAATAGCATTATAATTTCTTTATATAATCACATATTTTTGTGTTAGTTGAATCAAAATTGACTAGCTATTAAACTAGTTATAAACTTACGAGCATTTTATGCATTCAAGTGAAGAAAATGTAATGTACATTTTGTGAATTGTATGTGAGTGGAATCACTGTTTTTATGAATTGTGTTGTTGATTATTTTTAAAGATGGTGGAACTTTTGATGACAAAGACTTGTTCGACATTGGTGGTGGTGGGGACTACAAGCCTGATGGAGGCCGGTCAGGAGGTAAGACATCGGCTCTACCCTAAATGTTTCTTCATTTTGATTTGGCTTTAAATTCCTCTGCTGCTGCTCTACGTAGCCTTGTTTCGATGTTTGATTTATCATGTTTCCAATACAATTAACACTTGAGATGGATGAGCACGTGTCTTCATACATACAGTGTAATTTGACTTTGTAGTTCTGTAAGCTGTCACTGAGCAGTTTTTCAAAATTTATTATCAGATGTTTTTGACTTCATTGACATCAGACTCAAAAATTAAACTCTCTGCTGATGGTTTACACACTTGCACTTCAAGTGGACTTCATGTTATAGTTTAAAGCCCAGAAAACTCTTAACTTGGTTAGAATTCATGGAGTCAAATTTTCTCCCCGGTTATACTTGGGAACCTGCGCAGCAAAGATGGAAAATAGGCTACTATCCGATTGTTTATTGCAACCAGTATGAAAATTACTCAATAGCATGAATAGCCATCTAGGACAACTTAATTCAAAGGATGAAAGTCACACAGTATTTCAGCTTGGATTTAGTTTTATGAAAAACCGGCTTGATTCTTTTGGTTGGTGAAACCTTACAGCAGTGGTTGGCAACAAGGGGCCCATGCTGAAACTGATCTTAGCCATGAGAGCAACACTTCCTCACATGATCACTTTCTCTTTAGTGATTCTACCTGCAAACAAAAAGTGTGAGAAATTCTTTTTTTCAGCAACGCTTTTTTCAAGTTGAAATGAGAGCTTTTATTTTGAAAAGTTCTGGAGGGCATTCCAGAGAGTCTGTGGCGTGCATGACACACCTCTAAAATAGCCGTCGTGAAATGTGAGATTGGATATCCGTGAATGACAAGCGCAGGAATTTCCTCTGCCTGGGGATGCTGGGGAAATGAAAATCAGCGTCCATAGTATTATTGTGGACCAATAGCCCGGACGCACGTGCTTTATTGTGATCATGTGAAAAGATAATGTGGGGATCAAACGCACAACCCGGAAACTGAGAGGCGCATACACTACCAACTAAGCTAACCACACACATGGCAATATTATCTTACATTATCCTTTCCACAGAAACATGTTGTTGGGTGTTGTAATAATTCTGCTTAATAAACATACTATAATATTTGGTCACTGGGTGTGGTTTTAACCTTGTTTAGCGTTCTTTCTCTTGTTGTGTCTTGTTGTCCTTCACTACCGCTGACTCAACTAAACTGAGCGCCTCAAGAGAGTGGCACAACATTTAGATACTGTCATGGAAACGCTGACAAACTCTTGATCTGACTGTTGTAGGTGTCATGGTGGTCACGTGCCACTTTTTGATCATATTTTCATGTTGCCCGAAGGGAAGTGAAAACAGTTGGTAGTGTACAATTAAAGAGATGGGAGACTTTGAGTGCTCAGGCTGCTTTCACGCAGGATGATGGGGTTTCACGGCATGTGCCTTTCTGTAAAAGCTGCTTGCAGAAACATCAGATCTTTGTCAGACGTGTTTTGTGTGTGTGTGAAAGTGCAGAACACAATAAAGAACTGTACTATACAAAGCATCTACACAATTGTACACATTGTGGGGCTGAAATGAGATATAAATTCTGTATTTAGAGACCCTACTGGTGACCCATTTACTCCAGATCATGAAGTAAATATCACATTAATCTTTCTCCTACCATAGTGTTATAACCAGCAGTTGGTTTATAGTTTCCGAAACTTTCAAGTGTAGTTTTTGTTTAGCTTTTGTTTGAGTTGCATTATTGTGCGATTGTTGTTTAATTTATGTCCCTAAATTGAGTTGAGACTCAAGATTTAGGATTCAAGCACTTTATTGACTGCAAGATTTCCGTTACAAGACAGCAAGTGGTGTAGTCTGAACAGCACAAGTCGTGTAGTCTGCGCGAGGTTTTACAGTACTTACTTCAAAATGTCCCAGTTCAGACAATTTATTATCCTTCAGATTCCTTCTATCTGTGAACACAGATTCCCTTCCCAAAAATACCCTCCCACATAACCCTGGAGAGGTCCATAAACTACAAATACAGTAAATAATGAGTTCTGGATGTTAAAGGTTAAACATTCTCATTGTGACCGCAGACGCAGACGCTGCTTGTTATTTTGGAAAATCTTGTCTTTGTGTCTCTATACTGTTGTTTAGTCAGAGCATGGAAGTAATTAGTTGTTCTTCTACTAAGGGAAAGGGAAAAAACCCACAGGCTCTCCAGTGGAATGAGAGCCACAGATCAGATTGTGCATGAAGGGGCAGCTACAGAAACATGCTATTAACTGCAGCTTCCTGATCCCAGAACGTCTCTGCTGGGATTTTACCCATCAACTTGTAGAGGAAGCACGGTGACGAGACAGTTGCACTGCTCTGTTGTGTCCATTTCTCTAGAGAGAGCCATTGCAAATCTGTAACAGCCAGATTTTCACTACTGCCTCCTCTCAGGACTCAAAACTTTTCCAGTTTGACTTTTCTTCTTTTTCTTTTTTAATCCAGGCCGTGCAGTGGACCCAGGCCACGATCCTCAGGGTACGTTTTCATTCTTATATACTTTATTCTGCTGTAGTTTGAAATTCATTTAAGTAAATAAAGAAGAGCAAAAATGCACTGACAGCAAGCCGAGAATGACGCTTGGGTTCCTGAAGCGTCCGTGCAGGTTCTGCTGACGTCTATATCAAACCTGCTAAACATCAGCATGTTAACACCGGGAGCATGTTAGCATTAGCATTTGGATCAAAGCAAGAAAGGTTTCGGGACTGGACTCCAATTAAGATCTAACAAAAAGAGCTTGCATTATGGGAAATGTGGGATCATGTGTTTTGGGAGCTTGACCTATACTAAGGACTGAAAGTCTTGCATATTAGCTTTTATCACTATAGAAATCATAAACATTGATTGATTTGCCTTCTTTGTTCCTCACAGGTGGTGCTGATCAGCCTCAAGGTAAATCCGTCTCTGATATTGTTCTGTGCTCTTCTGGTTCTGCTTCCTGTCTTTGTGTCTGCGATCTGTCACTGTCAGTGAGGCATTGTGACGTCTCCCCTGCAGAATTGATCTGACCTCGAGCTCTTGTTGGGTACATTCCTGTTTCCTGCATTAGAGGAAGTTGGTGTTCAAGGCTTCTGTTTTGTAGCTGATCCAACGGTCGGATCGCGTTTTATTTCTTCCACATGCCGTCGTCACATATTGATTAATCGTTGTGCTTGTGGCTTGAAAGCAGCTCATTACCTCGTCTTTTCGTCAGACTCTATTTGTAACATCTTGATATAGTAATCGTGAGCTGGATCGCTAAGATTTGATAAGTTGCATTTAGTTTAACTTTACCAGACGAAACGGGCGTCTCTGAGGATCGGTTGATCCTTTGCTCGGTTTCATACTGGTATACACTCATATTGGTACCCCCAGTCTGGTTTCCTTGGCTAAAACCCTGCTACGATTGTGTGTCGTTGCAGATCCAGACCTTCTGTGGGGCCAAATCCTGAAGATGCTAAATGCTAACATTCCAGAGGAATTCTATATGTGGATGTCCAACTTTAAGCAAACATTAGCGTCTGTGTTAGAGAGGGCCATGGACCTGCTACAAGCTGCGCCATGAGCCGTCAGTCCGTTTCTGTTCCGATTGGCTCTCAGGTCTTCCAAGTGTTTTGTTCAACGTCTGATGGACTAAATAGCAGGGTGTTGGAAAAGTGAAGAATCGGAGAGGAATCGTGTTTTTCTAGAGGAAAGCAAGATCGTGGTCATTGGGATACTTTTTACTCTTGAGTTATTCTGTTGCAGAGCCAAAACATTCTCACTCTCAACTCGTCACAAACGGACACTTGGTCAAGACCCCTTGGTGTCGCTTTTCAACACCCCTTGTGTGTCGTTTTTGGACCTGCGGTCAAGTTAGCAACAGTGAATATGCAACGTGAACGCCGCAATTTGGTAATTTAAGGCACCAAAACTTCTTGGTGAGGTTTAGGAAAAGGTCATGGTTTTGGGTTAAAAAAAACTTACATAAAACATACTTAAGTTTTAGTAACTTCACTGACGTTACTTGCGTATCTTACATAACACACATCACTAAAAAGTCCAGTTTCTGGCCCACCCGTCCACCACAACCACCTCCTTACTGTGACATTTCTGTTATTTATATCTTACACCGGCTTTTAGCATTTATAACTGATGCTACAGGGCTTCCCCCACAATATTAACACTAAGGGGCTTCCCAGTGCCTTACAAACTGACGGGTCTTGACAATGCGTGCATGTGATGATTTGAGAGTGAGAACGCGTTGGCAGAGCAGCTCTAAATGTTGGATTGATGTGGGTTTTATTGTGTTTTGGGTGTGTACAAATATTCCATTTATGCTCTAACTCTCCACCCAGCTTTCCTACTCAGGGAATGCCGTGACTCATCGGTATGTTGTCAGTTTACATTATTAATGTTGCAGGGGAGTGTGAACTTTCTTTTAATATATGGTGCAGAAGATACCACAAATTTATTACCGGGCCTGGTGGTTTTCTGAATATACAATGAGTTTTGTGGGTCATTGTTAGTACTACATAAAGCTCCCATGAAGTGTCTGATTTGATGAGTTACTGGATAGAGCGCTGTGACTCCCTGGTACTGGATAATAAGAAACATCTGTTCTCTTAAAGTTTATGTACAGGAGTTTTTAAGTACATACGTTTGATGTATGATCCATGCGAGGCTGGACTGACTGATTGCACTACCAACGCACAAAAAAACTAAAACTGCTAAAAGCCTTGTAGGGGCTCCTAATTTTTTCCTGATATTTTTTTCCTGTCTTGGTTTAGTGTTCATACTTTAATATTTAAGTTGAACTCTTTAAATTTGATTGATGCAATTTGTGTAAAAACAAAAATCCCCTGGGGCTGAAACAACATTCTTTTCATTATCGATTAATATGTCGATTATTTTCTCGACTAATTGATTAGTCGTTAGGTCCAGAAAATTGTGATAAATGTCGATCAGTGTTTCCCAAAGCCCAAGGTGACGTTCTCAAATGTGCTGTTTTGTCCAAAACCAAACAAAAGAGATTCACTTTACTGTCATAGAGGATGAGGAAACCTAAAAATATTCACATTTGAGAAGCTCAAATCACATAATTTCAATGTTTGTTCTTTCAAAAAGGTCTTAAAGCGATCCATTAATTATCAAAATAGTTGACAACTAATCGATTACTTAATGTTGCAGCTCTACTTCTCAGGGTCAACATATCCATAAATCTGCTTAGAAGACATAAAAAATATGATCCTCAAATTCAAATCTTTCCTGATAAGGAACATTTTCGTCAGCATCAGTTGTAATGTACTTTGCATGTTGCTGTCCATGGTTAGTGCAAACAGGAACTGCAGGTTCACCAAAATGTAAATAAATGTCAATACATGTCAACACTATGTTTCCCGTTTGCCTCCTTTCACATGCATGATGGGAACTTTAGTTCCAATACTCTGAACATGTTTATTATTATGTATTAATATAGTGTGTGGGTGTGTGTGTGTGTGTGTGTGTGTTCATAACAATACAATACTATAAATAATATACAATGGAAATGGAAGAGAATACTGTGATATTGAAAATAATAAGTTATATAATAAACTTCTAGTACTAATAATAAGACTGGTAATATATAGTTTGGGACAAGGTGCAACTGTAAGTTTGTGTTACGGTGTGCAACATTAAGCCAAACACTGGGTCTGAAATGGAAATGACATTCACTGCCTGCTAGTCCTTTACTCACGATGCAGTACTGACAGTTTACCCACGGGAGCCGAGTTCAGAGATTGACAGTGACGCTGCCCTCCATTCGTATGCAGATGTGTGTTGAAAACCAGTTGACATAGACAGAAAACCATAACATTTTCAAGGTTTTCTTTTCATAAAGTACCACTGAAATTTCAATAGATGACATTTCTGTGTACTAACTCATCCTGGAGGTAACATGTGGTGGCTTGTAGATAACGAGTGAAATCATCTGAGGGTGCAGAGGGTTAATAAATGTGTGATCATTTTTATCTTTAACAGTAGACAAGATAGGATTCACCCCTTAGCTTTAAGCCGGCCCCTGGACCCTTTTAGGTGTCCTGCAAAAAGAACACAGTCCACATGCTGCCCAGCATTCTCCGGCATTAAGTCGTGCTGTCGGCTGGCATCCCGTGCTTCTCTTTTCTGTTTTTACGCCCTACTCTACTACACTGCCCCATCACAAGACACCTTTCCTCCACTCATGACTCACTGTGGTTTTAAAGTCATGCCAGGCGTATTATTCATGCAGCCAGTGTGTTTCAGTTCCTTTGTGTGCTGCCTCTGAGCCCCACCCTGGAGGGTGGCTGCGTTCTGTTTTCAATGCAGCTTTCTGGATCTCTTGTGTCTTATATTCCTGCGTTAGTTTCACCGCTGACTGATTCTCCTCTTTGTCTTTGTGTTGCTTATGTTCAACTTTCATATAATTTGACTTCAGTTTCTCCTTTCGTTGTGTCCTGCCAGTGCAAAGTTCATCAAAGGTTATTGGCCGCCGCCTGGTGGAAGTCTGAGGTTATGGCCGTTCACAGTTTTGGAACCGTGTTGGAACTCTTATCAACTTTATATCGCAGCATTACAGTTAAGAATGCTATTAAGATAACGTTTAGGAGGGGAAAAGTTCCTAAAAGCTCCTGTGTTGGTCCCTTGACCAAGCTTTCGAGTGATCACATGATTAATCACATTTATCCTCAGAGCTCGTCACAAGGATTGTTCATTTTTAAGTTAAATTTATTAGTTTGTTTGTGTGGACCTTTTTACCAGGCAGGTCAGTTAAAAAACAATTCTTAATTCTCCTTCTCCGGCCTGGTCGGAGGTTAAAAAATGCCTCCAATAGGGAAGAGATGTAGGGATTAAATCAAAATATATTATTAATATACTATAGATTAACAATATAATACTAACAAACATCAACCAAGCACACAGGACAGCAAGTACAAAGCATAAAACAACATAAAAGCCTTAAAAACAGTCACATAAAAACAACACCAAACCATGAAACAGCTATCATAAAAACCCAGAAGAAAGTGGAGCAGCACAGTGATCTGCAATCAACAGCGAGGCGAACTGATCACTGGTTCACAGCCGCCCTGAACTGTGGAGACACAAGGTATTTCAGGTGCAGCTGGGCTAGAAGCGGCTGCAAACAGCAAAGCTAAAACGACTACCATGCCCAAACCTTTAGATGAATACAGGCCCAGAACAGACTGACTGAACTGTTAACAAACTTCGAGTTTCCTATACGAAAGCGCAGTCTGCTGTAACCGTCAGGTGTGTGTGTGTGTGTTTTGTCCTGCATTAGCTGAATCTGGGAAGATCGCAGGAATTGCGAGTGCCATAGGAGTCGCTCTGTTGGGAGCAGCATCCAGTTACTTTGCTTACCAGAAGAAAAAGCTCTGCTTTAAGCTGCAGGGAGGTCAGTATGTTTTTTTTTTAACGCATCAACACTTGATGTTTTTAGAAGGCCATGAGGCACAAATCAAAGGAAGTGTTATAGTGTTGTCACAGCAGAAATGTTCTTTATTTAGGTGCAGATCCAGAGAGCGGTAAAGAGCAGCATGGTACTCAGTCTGATCCTCAAGGTAGGTTTCTTTTTTTTCTTTTTTTTAAATGAATTTAAAATCTTCTGATACTTACTGTAAAGACATGTTTTTGCTTACAAAATAAGTGGGTGACAAATGAAAGTAAAACCAGACAGAATCCTGCATAGAACTCAGTGGGAGCTCTGCTGCAGGGACAAACAGCATGCTGTCTTAACACGTTACTTCAAAATCTCTCACAGCATGCTGTCTTAACACGTTACTTCAAAATCTCTCACAGCATGCTGTCTTAACACGTTACTTCAAAATCTCTCACAGGTGTTAGGTTGGGCTGAGAACTGGTGACTTTGAAGGCCATAGCATATGATTCACAACATCATGTTCACACTCATCAAACCCTTCAGAGATCCCTGGGTGGGTGCCCTTTGAACCCGCCCTCGGTCAGGGTCAGATATTTTCCTCCGGTCATCTTGACGTCGACCAGGCCTGTGTTGAGCCTTTTTCTATGTGTCGCAGAGGATGGAAGGATGATGAGATGATGTTTGCTGGATTTTATCTCAAACATCTACACTCACTATTACCAACTAGATGTCGTAAGGCTTGTGATGGAAAAAGCGTCTACATCATTTTTAACCATTGAGTAAAAGTAGGTAGTAGTTAATTACAAGTAAAACTCCTGCATTTTAAACCTTACTTGGGTACAAGTACAGAATTATTAGCAGCTAGATGTACTCAGAGTATCAGAAGACCAGATTGGCTTGTCAGTGTATTATTGATTTCTGATCATTCCTGATGCATTAATGTGTGAGCCAGATTCTAAAGTTGGAGTTGGAGCTGATTTAAACTACTTAATTCATTATAACATCATAAAAGTGGATCATATTCAAACTCCCCTTTGTGGTGAAGGAGAAGTAATAGGCACCAAGTACCTCAAAGTGGTACAGAAGGACAGAACATAAGTGTGTGTTTCGGGTCAACCCATCTGTTAAATGATCCATAGGATGCCAGGAGGTTAATGCTGTCACTGAAGCATACACTTTGTCGCAGCACAGTATCCGTGAGGTGACGCTTAGTAAACAAACCAAATCCAAATGTGTGCGTAGCCTGACATCAGGTGGTCAGCAGCGGGTAGTGAGCTGAGCGCCTGCTCTCCACAGACTGGGGTTTGGGGCTTTAGGGACTCATGAATCCAGTCAGACTCTCTGCGTTCATTGTTCTGTTCTTTCAAATTTCAGTTTTCAGCAACCTGCTCAAGTCATCCTAAACCCCTCCTGCACCCACAAGACAAGTCAGTGGCCTTCTTCACAGAACTCAACTTCATCATCTTCCAGTCAGCTGTCATTTGTCGTCTTTGGTCAGAAAATTAGACTCTCTCTGGGTCTTACTGTATTTTAAACCATAAATACAACTTAAACTGAAAATAAAGTTAGTTAGAAATATCGTTTATTTTCTTTTGATTTTTAACAAAACTTAAATCCTAGATGTTGTTCAGTGATGATTTCAACAGGCAGTGGTTTTGCACAGAGCTTAGTTTGTGTGGAACTTCTTCTGTAAACATGAATACGTTGTGTTGTTTTGTCTTTTAAACTCTGACACTATAGTTTTTGCAAATAAATATGTGTGATTAGTTTAACATAGTTGCTCCTGGGTGGGGTTTACTGCATCATACAAGTGGAATAAAAAGAAAAGATTCTCTCCTGTGATGGTCCAAACTGAAACCTGAGCGGACCCCACCCAGCTGGCATCTAAGAAGGATCCTGAGGTATTTTGGCTTAGAACGGATGTCAAGTATTTTCTTTAGCACCTTAAATCCTAAAGGGTTTTTTCCCCCAAACCAGGTGATTTGCTCAGGTGTTGAGATATTTTCTTTTACTTTTTTTTTTTTGTGAACCAACCATTTAATGCAGAGTCTGCCTTAACCGTGCACCGTAAATTCTCAAATAGAAGCCTTTACTCAAGTAACGACGAGGGCCGTGGCCAGCGCAAACAAATCAAGGCTGTTAAATAACTTGTACCTGTACCCTGGTGGCTCACATGTCATGTCATACTCACCTTCCCGCTGCTCTGTGTTTATCACAAAGTCACTAATTCACTCCAATGACTTCTACTTTTTTTCAGTCGTTAAGCGACTGTTAATGAAAGTGAAGACTTCTTCCTGCAGATGTTTCAAACTAAACCCAAGGCAGTGATGGAGGGAAATCATTAGTGATTCAAAACATTATTTCTATTGGGTCAGAGAAGCTCAGAGAAACAGAGTGGTGAGTTTGACATGGCTGTGAAAACACGGAGGAAGTGACGAGTTCGGCACAAAACGACAAATTCCTGAAACACAGTAAAATTAAAGCCTCTTTCAGATGAAGGTCAGGTTCTATCTGCAGTTGAGGCAGCTATTTGAGAATTTACAGTTATTCTATCTACAGCATAACACAAGTGTTTTAAGTTGTTGTGTTGACATGATCATCATAGAGCTGGATCTGAATCCAGCAGAAGGAGCTTTAATTAATATGAAATGCTGATTGTGATGCGAGCAGATGGAGTTTATGAAACACAAAGCCGACACATCTAATAAATTGTACACAATGTTAGTGAGGTGTCATTGGAAGTGAGATGGCTTATCATGTAAATGTAACTTACAGTACAGGAATCCGCTTTTTGTTTGTCGTCATGTTGGGGATTGAGCCAACATAAGTCTACTGCAAAATACATTTTCTCTCTGTGATTTGATTCCTTCTTTAAATCAAATTTTCTTAAAGCTGCAGTAATCAGTGTTTTTTTATATTAACAGCGATTAAAGTGACTATGTGAAATGTGGTGCTTGTGAACCCACAGATAATTCCCCTTTTTATTTAGCTTGTTAATTTGGTTTTAAGGCCCAGGAATATTTCTCATCAAAGTTAGAAACTAGCTGGTGTGCACACAGAGCATTTAGAAGATGAAGAGCCAGATATGAGTTACATTCAGCAAGCAGACACAAACGCAATTCTGATGTTGCTCTCTGTGTACTCAGTGTGTAAATAGTCAACTAACATCTTATCCAGAACCGCTTTATAGGTTTAAATGATGTGTTCCACTGCCCTCTAGTGATCAAAAATAATTAATGCAAGTAATATTAGACAACAACAAACAAACAAAATATTGGACAGAAATGACCTGATCTTTTGCAGTCCGCGTATTTGATCAGTTTTATTACTCAGCTTTTAATCACTTTCTGCTTGTCTTTGTAGAGGAGTAACGCTCTTTCATCCTCAATTATGATCATCAACAAGTACTCTGCATTGTGTTATTCATGGTCGTTCTCTCAGACTCGCCCATGTGTCATCACTATATGAGCACATAAAGTAGCTATAATCACATCAGAACGATTGTATCAGAGGATTCTGATTAGTATGATGCTAAAATATTCAAATTAGTTGCACCGTTGAGAGCTGTAAATACTTAAGAATAATGTGTATAGATGCCCTTTGCTTTAGGCTTGATGCTGCATTGTGCTTTGGATCTCAGTTTGAAGTGCATTTTTTGGAGACTTTTGTATTAGAATTTATCTCAGTTTTACAAGCATAGACTTAAGCCGGGTATATTACATCTGATGATTGGATCAATGTTACTTTTGTGAGTGGATTTAAAGTGTGTGTACATGTTTTAATAAAAGTTGTGTTTTACAGTTGATCTGTTTCGTCATGGCCCGCTTCCCCATTTAATTCTTGACCTCAAGATGAGCAAGTATGACCAATGTTGTGAATTAAGTGGTAATTATTTTCTATAAATAGATCATAGGGATCCATTGCATGTATGTATGTATGATCGAAATATGTTTGTGCACAGCAAAAGCACATCAAATCATGCACTTTGTTTCAGCGGGGTTTAATCCAGTCAAAGCAAAGTAAACTTCATTTGTTTTCTTCCGAACATTTGACCAATGTGACTCGCTATGATAAATATTTGTAGTATGCTTAATATTAGTCATTAATATTCAGATAATCAATACATGCTGATAGTGTTTTAAATAATTTGTGCTTTATTGTCTGACAATAATCAATTATTAAAAACTATTTTAGAGTTAAACCCATCTGTAGTGAACCTACAATATGTTTCTGAAATTATTAATATTAATACTTGGGAATGCTTTAATTTCTACTCGTTAACCACCCAGCATCACCGTTTATTCAAGTGGCTAGGAATCCTTCGGTATACTATAATAATTAAAACAATCAGTTACTGATAATCAGTCAGTAACTAATAAATCTGGTCAGCTAAATGAATGAATGTAAATAAATGCAAATGTAAAAATATCGCCAGGCGCCATCTTGATTATTGTGCAATACCTGGAAGAAGTGCCTGCAGTCTCTCACCCTTTTCCGCAGAGCTGGAGAACTGGAGATCTTTTTCAACATTTGACCATAGACATCTAGGGTATCAAATGAACGGTCTGCTAAACCCGGATCGATTGATGCCCCCACCATGGGATGTTCCTTTCTCAAGCTACAGGGCTGTAAAGCATGGGAATATTGATCAGTATTCACTGTTTTTATCAATATTTCTATGTTATGTTATTTGGAACGTGGTTGTATGGACATAACTCCCAATAAAAGTCAACATTTAAACAGTAAATATTGCCAAAATATGGACATTCGCCTGGTATATTTTGAAAATATTGTATTAAAACGGTTTATTTTCATCAAATTTACAGTTACATTCTACATTCATATTGAATTCCAGGTGTACTAAATTATATTCAGTTGCATTATAATCTATCTTATGATGGTTTATTGCATTAAAAATATAGATTTTTTTAACCAGGTGAGGATGAAAAATAATATATTTTTATTTATTGCATCTCCATATAGTCTGTAATTGTAAATTAAATATGTTAATTTATGGATTTATATTCATTAGCTTCTGAGCTATCAAAGGAGACCAGAATTATGCATCTAGGCCAAATGGTTGAGGAGTTTTTCCTGATTTAGCTGGAGGTTTCCAACAGGTTAAGATAGGAAGAGTTTAAGATACGATTTACCCAATTTGGTATTACAAAATCAAATCCTAAGTAACTTTAGGAATCATATTTTATCTGACTTCATCCGATCTTTTCTCAGGTTAGGAAATCCTACATACTCATCTCACAGAGCTAAGCAGCAACAGTCAACATATTTTACATTTTCCTACATTTCCTTCATAACTTACAGACTACTCGAAATACTCGAAATAATAAGAAACATAAACATATGCACTATTTGATAATACAATTGATATATATTCACTATATATCTGACTGTAATGTCGATGCAAAATCTGAGTGTCATTTTTGACTAATCGATGTGTTTTAACAGTCATATGAAATCTGTGTTTTGTTCCAGTTTTTTCCATCTCAGGAACAAGATTAGATCTGTGGTTTCTAAAGAAGAGATGGAGATGCCTGTTCATGCTTTTTTCCTTCTCGTTTGGATTATTGCAATGTACTGTACACTTGTTTAAACCAGGGCTGGACTGGGACAGAAAATCATCCCTGGCATATTTGGCCCAGGCTGCCCACCAGAATCGGTCGAACACCCCTCTACATTTCATTGCAGGCTTATTGTGCAAATAAACCTTTTTCATAGCATTTTTCAGAATCAGCTTTATTGCCAGGTACAGTAGGTGTTGCACCATCCACTCTAGCCCTGTAGGCAAACTGCTGGGGTCCAGCAAGGGGCCTGTACTGTCCTTCAGGTGGGCCAACACCACTCTTTCAAAGGACTTCATGACCGCAGATGTCAGGGCGACAGGCCTGTTGTCATTTAGTCCAGAGATGGAGGTTTTTGGAGGGACCAGGATGATTGTGCAGCGTTTGAAACTTCTCACAGCTCCAGTGATCTGTTGAAGATCTGTGTGAAGATGGGGGCCAGCTGATCTGCACAGATTTTCAGGCAGGATGGAGACACAGCGTCTGGGCCAGCGGCCTTCCTGATCTTCTTATTTGTTAGTGAAAATTTCTTGGTGCATTTTTCAAAACATTTTTAACAAATGCTTTCAGAAAGTGGTGGCTACATGTCCCCAACGTCCCCACTGTAAATTACCTTCCTCCCTGCTCCCTCCCTCCAGGTTGAGCTACTCCATTCTTACCGCTTCACCTCCACTCTCCTCCTGCTTTCTCACTCAGCCCTGTCACTTTGTCACTCGCTAACACACACCTCCTCCTCTGCCTGGCAGGGCCACAGCTCTCCTTACTCCTCTCCTGTTTGCCTATATAATATTCACACTTGCCTGTGCCTGCTCTACGTCGGGTACCGCAGCTGATGTTAAAACTACCGCAGCCCTGGTAGCAAACATATCGGTTATTTTCGCGCATTTGGCGGCATCCGTATGAAGATTTTGTCTTTTGTGGGAGGGGGCGTAACGCAAGAAACAGAGAGCAGAGGCGGTGGCAGCTACTAAAAGACGTGATTGGGCCGGCTCAGTGTCAGTATAGAAAATTACCCAATGGTCCGCTGTCCATGCTTTATGGGCCGGTAGTTGGTTCATTATTTAAACAATTATATAAATACATAATTTAAGTTACAACGGCCCCAAAGGTGCATCGGCCAGATTACCAGTCCAGCCCTGGTTTAAACCAATCCTCCATGGACCGACTGCAGGTTGTACAGAATGCAGCTGCAAGACTTTTGACTCTGAGTTCTTCAGGCCAAGACCTTTTAACTGTTCCCAGAACACGTTTTAAAACAGGGGTGATCGGGCTTTCTGTGTGGTGACTCTCTCCCTTTAGCCATGAGAGCCTTGGTTTCTGTGGAGACTTATAGAAAACACCTAAAGACACATCTTTTAGACAAGCATTTAACTAGCCACATGGTTTTGTGTGTTGTTGTTTTTATTAGTTTTTAGTTTCATATTATTGTGACCCCTCTTGTCTGTGAAAGGTGTTATATAAATAAAGTTTACTTACTTATTATACATGTTACCAGGCTGTTGTTGCCTCTGAGCGGTACAGACAGACTGAGGTAGATGTGACCATATAAAAGACCATATTTGGAATACCGGCTTCGTGTGTCATAGAACGAGCTGTTGGAAGAAAAACCTGTTGAAAACAGGTTTCTTTTAAATACTTTTACCTCATTATTTGAGGTTTTGGCCGTGTTTAACATGAACATCCAACATCGTAACTTTGTAGATAAATCAATTTCCCCCACCTAGGGCAAAATAAATCAAATTAACCCACCGTATCGCGAATAAAAAGGTACCTCAACGTAATCATTTTACTGCTAATAATGTTACTCAAGTTTTTTGTTGTTGTTTATGTTTCAAATTCTTTTAGATGTCAGGCATCTTCTGCTAAGTTCTGTGTTCTAACTTCTTAAAATAGCTTTTTTCAAATGAACTAATCATTTTCTTATTAAATCAAACCACTTTAAATCCACTATACAGACAATTAAATGAAATTTGGCTTTTGCAGACTTATGCCTACATAATATTCACACTTGTCAAACAGATGTAAAACACACATCATTTTATACAAATGCTTATGTTAAATAATGATTTATGTTAATACTAGAACAAGACCATTTATTTTAGTACACCCTTTTTAAAAGTAGTATAAAATGCTTCCCACAAAATGAAATAAACCGAAGTTGGTATAGAATAAAACAGGGTTCAGTTTATATTCTGGTTTGGCTATTGTTAAGAATATGATTCTAAAAGAAATAAAGTCAGCAAACGTACACTGATTGTGGATCCTAACACAATTACTAAGTTGTAATAAAGATACAAGTTTATATATGCAAGTTAAACGTTAAACTAAACAACCAAATGGAGAAAAAGGTAAAATCAATAATACTTTGACGTTCACGAGACCTCTGAACACAAACGTTGCTGACGTAGACTCAAAAGTAGCTAGTCTCGGGGAAATTTCGTCCCAGTTAAAGGCCATAGAAAATAAGCAAGTAAGGTCTCCGGCGTCAGGTTAGACAAAGAAAATTTAAAACTAAAGATCACAGAGGTTTCTCTGAGCAGAGTTCGTTTCAGAATGAGATATTAAGCAAGAGAGGTTGAGACAAAGAAGTCCTCTGGGCTTTCTGTGCATTCTCCTGGGGTGTGTCAAACAGTGGGAGGTCACCCTTTCTGGGGCCCGAGGTTTTGCTTTGAAGCTTTCCATGTCTATATCGCGCATTCAATCATATATTGAACATGTTGTTAAATTCAACTTTATGCTTTTGTTACAGTTGAATAAACCCAATTCATAGTAATCCCAACAGATGAAATAAACAGGGTAAAAAAAAATTTCCCTGATAGGGAAATTTGTTTTACAAAGACTACACAAAATACAGAAAATGAACATCTGTCAGCACATACTCTCATGCAACACCACACATGCTCTCAGATACTTCAGACAGGTACCCTTTATGGTAAGCACATTAACTCCTTCTTCCAATGGCAGTTTTTGATTGAACAACCCTGTCGGCTGCGTTCCCTGCAGTAAGCGTAGGATGAGATATTGCACACCTCTAATACTGCACAAATAACACATTTCACATAACCTATGCAATACGCAACAACATATTTAACAAGCCAACGGTCCATGTGTTGCACCACAAACATATTGCACAACTCCAATAACCTCCTTATTGCACAATGACATAGTGCCCAATCCAGCTAGCCTACATTTAGGAACCCTGAATCTTCTACTAGCATATAAGCTG